TTAACATAATCTATATTTTCACATCAGAGCGGGGTATTACTAGGATTACTAGCGACCATTGGCTGACAGACTTGTTGTTTGTCCAGCCCAGTTTTTAAAAATATCAATCAAGTATGTAGTTTACTTGCATAAAAATTTCCCGAATACCTTGTTTTATGTACATATACATGAACGTATATTTTTAAAAACCAATACATACGAGTTAGTGCAACACTTTTTTTTTTACGAATATTGGAAACGTTGACTTGATAATGAAATCATTCAAATTTGAATTAACTTACATCTTTTTCAACATGATATTGTATTTTTTTCCTTTCAAATTATGTATTTTTTTATTGCTGTGTAAAGCGGAAACAATAAAATGGTATTTTTACGAATTGGAATTTAAATCGACCAAGAAATAAGATTAAATGTAAATTTAAGCAAAACTTTATTCTAGTAACAAAACCTTTTTTCTCTTCAGTTGTTTGAGTATGAATTAATTTAATTTCTTTTATAATTTTATCTATTCCTTTTGTCGATTTATGCGCATACTTTTATCAAATATTTACATTAAAAAATTGATTTTGTAGAATTTTATAAATTCTGAATCACAGGACCCATCTCACACAATATTGGGTGACAACCACATCACCAACCCAGTGGTTCAAGTTGCGGGCTTATTTAGTGTCAAAAGAAAGACCTTCTCAATTTGTTTTGCACATGTCTCACCCAAAGTTTCGTCTAATATATCGAACGACTTGGACATATTAAAACGAGGAAAAATATTCTTATTTGCGAAATATATTAGAATGGAATTTAAAAAAATTATTGTCTTATCATTTATTGTCATACCATCAAACCTTTACGCGTATCAGAGCAGAAAACGTCAAAAAGCGCAATGTGCGTTAAAGTGCGTGATTGTGGGGTAAAGGTATATGCGTTAAAATGCGTGATTGTGGGGCAACGGTATATGCGTTAAAATGCGTGACTGTGGGGAAGGGGGTTAATAAAATGCAAACAAGTAATGAGCTGTATCATTTAATCAGTGAATCATATAATAAAACAATTATTGCTGGTTTTTTCGGTCAATACAATGATTTAGCCATCTTCGAAGTACAATATTCACCTCGCCCTTCGGGCTCGGTGAATATTGTACTCCTCAGATGGCTAAATCATTGTATTGACCGAAAAAACCAGCAATAATTGTATATTATCAAGTTGTACATGTATATTTTATCCGCTAACTAACCCTTAATAGGCTTCTCTTGTAACCCCCCCCCCCCCCCCAAAAAAAAAATTGTTAAATCAAAATTTGAAAAACAATTTGATAAGGTTTAATGGACGATTATAATGGGTCAGATGGCTGATAATATATGCAGGTTGTTAATGAGTTTTTTCTCAAATTAGGAAAGGACTGGTGGTTTATCAAACAATGCAGGAAAGTAGAGAAATGTATATATTTATTTGTGTGAAAAAAATGTAGAGCCGTAAACTATACAACATTTGCATTACGGATTCTGCAATATCAATGTAAGGTTTCTGAAGCTAGTATATAAACTTCAAACTGCTCAAGAAAAGTGCAAAATTTGATTTTTGTTGACGTTCCTGTGTTAAGGACTTCAACGTTAATGCCATCAACATTATTCATATGATCCTTTGTTCTCCCATTCATTGGTTTGGCATTACATGCTGTGTTTTCCACACACTCTATATACAAAATACACGCACAAGTAACGAAACATATTTGTATTTGAATATAAAATATCTCTAACTGTCATCTCTAAGACGGTTTTAAATATTTTAAATTTAAATTTAATTTTTTTAATTTCAAATAACACTTTTAAATGTATTGCAATTGAAACTTAATGAACTTCCAGTTCGGTCACTTCTTGATTCTACAAAAGAAAAACTGATATTTCCGAAGAAGACAAAATCTTTCTTTTTCTAAATATCTAGACTCACAAATTCAAGAAATAAATTCTAGAGACATATAAAAAAGTTTGTGTGTGTGATTTTTGACTACTGATACTTTTCGAGATATAAGGCTTCAAACATTGAAGAAGGAGGGATGAAAATTCTAAAAAGATTAAGATTGACCGAAAAGACTAAATAGGCATTAAATATTGTTAAGGCTGATAAATACAAGTTACTTTGTAAGCTTCATATAAATCAAAACAATACTTCCGGTTTTATGAGTCTCTAAAAATGTCGATGGGACCTTCTATGTAAAACTTGAAATCATGTATTTCACGTTTTATCTAAAAGTGCCCAAGATATTCGTGTGAAATCTGAGGTCTAGGATGACTATGACTTAATTTCGTCTTCATATGGTTTTTAAAGAAATTTATTTTAAAAAAGGGAATTCAAGGGGCCAAACCTAAAAACAGACTTTCCATTGTAGTTTTTTTTTATTTCTTAACCAATTTTGAAATTGATTTCGGTTTTCGGTTCAGCATTACGAGTGCAATCTAAAAATTATTGGCCGTGGGGTTACTTTTTGACCTCTTATAGGAGTTTGAGAGGACTGAAAAATAATGAAATCTGTATTTGTTGAAGAACACATCAAGTACGAGTTATATCCCTTTGCATGGCTTTTGGTATGCATATAAGCTCTTAAGGTTTCAATTTTCGTACACACATATTAATTACTTCCGTTGATATTAATCTTTGAAAATTGTCTATGGGACTTTCTGTGTCAAATTGAAATCACGCACTTTTTCTCTAAAAGTAATCAAGATATTCTTGTGAAATTTGAGGTATATAATGACTGTGACTTTGTTTCGACTTCTTTAGCTGTTTAAAGCAAGTTGATTTCTGTTTTGGGTTTAGCATTACAAGTACATTGTAAAAAAAATGTGGGCCGAGGGGTTATCTTTTGACCCCTTATGTGAGTTTTAGCGGATTAAAAAACTGTACTGTCTCGTATTTTTTAAAATAATCATGAAAGTGTTATGTCTCTTTGACAACTGATTCACAAAGAGACTCGTTATATTTCCTATTCAGTATTGATCTCAAAAGAACTTCTGCGATATACCGTATAACGGGTATTTATTACGTGCTGCTAATTTTTACTAATTTTTACGAATTTTATAATTCCGTAAAATTTAAACGAGTACAATTTCACAGAAGTAAAAAAAAACGTCTTGCATACGTTTTGAACATTGTATTATGAGAATATTTCAGTGTTATCACTGCCATTTAGCTAAGTACCTGAAGTCTATAGAATTAGTACTGAGAACCATTGGTATTTGGGGGAACTTTTTAATTGATCATCAATTAGGATCAAACAAGTTAATCTTAATTAATACACAAATTATACGAACATCGTCAATTACCTGGTTCCTCTTACGGAACGCATAATTTCTGATATTGGCTTAATTATTACAGACTAAAATCTTCAAATTATATCCGTTTTCAAGACTTTGAGTCTTTCTTCTTTTTTATTTGCTTGCAGTTAATATTTCGACATTTTTTAATACAGTATACGGTAATCCGTGTCACCTGTAATTCTGTCAAGTTAATCATCATGGTTTGAGTTGTCTCTCTTTGTTTTCATTGAAATGAAGACGGGCACGTGGTGCACAACAATAATGATGTGTAGACATATATGCATTAATTGAAAACAGGGATAAATTCACGACATGCGATATATATAAAGGTAGTTAAATAAACATATCATCATTTATTGAATCAACTCTCAATATCACGGGAACACTTTTTTATTTTTACATCGGGTTGTCCAGACACATCTTAAACATGTATTGGTATGTTAATGCATTCAAAAAGCTAAAACATTGATCTATAGAATTTCACCTCCGATGATTTTAATTTTTACGGACAAGCTCAATTCGTAAAAATTCAGCGCGTGAAAAAACAAAATATCCTATTTCTTCCGAATTTCGTAAAACATTACAGCAGTAAAAAATACCCGTTATACGGTATTGTATCACAAGAGTTTTTTACAGTGTAATATTGATTTTTCTTTCTGAATTTTAAGAGGTTAAAAAGCCCTCCGTTTTTGGTGAACAACAAAAAGCCTTAAGTTTCTTTTTCTGTTGTCATTTGATTTTTTTTACTATATACAAACATGATGATGAATCTTAACAGAAATGAAAGACTGATTGATTGATTAATAATAAGTTGTTTAGCGTCCCTCTAGATAATTTTTTTTAATCATATAGTGACATCATGACTTGCTGCTTGAGAGCTTACGTGTCAGCACTTCCTGCGACATGGGACGTCGGTTTATTCGAACCAATAAAAATTTAAGAAATGAATTTATTTTTTTGAAATTCATGAGGTTATGAACTACGACGCTTCACGCCGGCATAACGCGCTTCATGATAAATATGCCGGCGTGAAGAGTTGTAGTTCAAATACCTCATGAATCTTCAAAAAATTAAATTCATTTCTTATATTTACATTATTTTTCTGATGACTTGCCATGAATTTACGCCGATCAACTGTCATTTTTTTAAAACAAAACAGTGTGCACTATATTTTTTTTTTACTTTTTGACGTCAAGAGCGGTATTATGACATAACAATGGGATATATTCATGCTTATTCCTGATACCTAACGTAGTTCATGAGAAAAATATACTGCATTTTATTTTGTAAACAATCATAGGGAGAATTTATTGGAAATGTAAATATATATTATTGAACTCCTAAATTGATTTTCCTGCGAATGAGTTATGTATCAGACAACATTACCTTCAAGTACACGTGTAGTGTTTATGACGGGATATCCTTCTTCAATACTTTTAGCAATTTATTCCTTATTGATTCATATAGTATTGCTTGTCTTTTTTCAAATTACAAGGAAAGTTTGACTATAAAAATATCAATTTTACGCATTAGCCCCCCCCCATTTATTTCATAACAATAGGGCTGATTCTAAAGGAAAGAGTTGACTGTCACAAAAAATAAAGCTCTCTCTCTCTCTCTCTCTCTCTCTCTCTCTCTCTTTCTCTCTCTCTCGTTTTTGATTGTCATTCACAATTTTGTTTTACCTACCCAGGGTCCCGGTAGCTGGTCCTCCTAGAAAAAGTCTGTATTTGTTCGCTTCGTCAGCAACAGAGAACTGGTTGTATAATTCATAAAGCTTCGTCCCATTAGTCAGTGTGATAGAGACGTAGAGGGAGGAGTTTCTTCCCTTGGTAAGTTGATGTATGACGTCATTTCCTTTAATATGTAATTGTCGTGTAATATATAAAGCATTTATGAAACAAACTGGGTTTTTTTTCATAATCGTTTTCATATAAAGCAACGTGGAACATGTATACAGAAATTCCATGAAGGCAATGAGGTACATGCTTTTGAAATCAAAGTTAGGAAATCGTTATATATTGTATTTTACATAAATTGATATAAACTTCATTTAAATTGATAAAAAATAAAATACTAATTAAAACTGTTAATAAACAGAAGAACTGCATTCCCTTAAAACAGCATAGGACGTTACACAGTTATAAAATGGGTACAATGGAAATAGAAAACTAATGGTTCCCGGGGGGGATATGCATTTGGAACTCTAACCCTTTGGAGAGCCAAAAATTTGCTATGTCTTCTGTAGTCATTCTATAACTGTTTATAATTTACCTATCCAGTATGAGTCATTGGCTTTACCAAACCCAGTCTTGTAGTCGGACCATGTTCTGTCGAATGACACTGATCCACTCACACGTTTCTGGATTGCCTAAAGATTTATAAATTATGTCGGGTTTATTAAAGACAGTAGAAGTGTTTTTGTGTTAGTTTTACTGTGAACAATGTTTCAATTAAGTTATTCATTAAAACAATCAATCAAAACAGATTTTGTTTTTACTTTTGATATACACAAATTTTAGGTAATAACAAAAAATAACTTCATACAAAAATCAAAATACGATTTTACATTTCTGATATTGTAAAAATGTTATTCTTCTTTGTACATTATAATATTTACTTTTTATTTTCTCTTCATGTAAATTAGACATTACATAATTATTCAATGTTCATTCAGAGCCAATTTTCGTTGTTTTCAGCAAAGAGACATAATATCACTGTGAAAATCAAAAATTCATAATTTTTTAAAGATATATCAGCTTAAATTGATCTTTTGGCATCAGATAGAAAGAGAGAAAGGACGGACTGTCCACCCCCACCTTCTCTCACTATTCAAAGAGAAAGGGCAGAAAAAATGATAAAGAGAGAGAGTGTGTGTGTGATACATAGAGAAAGAGAGGGAGGGAGAGAGGAGGGATAAAAGGATAGAGAGATCTTACCGTCCACCCTCCACTTTCTGTCATCATGTCACAGAAGACGCTGACCTTGCTTTCAATACTAAATGGATATATCGCATAAACACCAGATTCCGTATTACCATTAATATAGAGGTTCTTACAATCTTTATATCTGTGTAACTCTGAAAGAATAAAAAATGGATACATGATATAATAATGATAATATAATCGTAGAATAAACTATACTCTGGGAGAGAGAGAGAGAGAGAGAGAGAGAGAGAGAGAGAGAGAGAGTTACCTGACTCGATGGTTTGCAGTATATAGCTCTTCAAATCTTCGTGGATGTTGGTAACATTTTTCATTAGGATGCTAAACAACTCATCGAATTCTTCTTGAATGTTCATTTGATTGGCGGTAATCCGCGTATTGTCACGTCTTAAGGAATCAATTTGTTTCGCGATCTCATGTCTTAATAACTCAATTTGTCTCGCGTTTTCTTGTTTTAAGTACTCAACCTTTTCATCAAATGTCTGTGTCGTCTGATCATTACGGACGCAATCATTTTTGTCATTGAAATAAATTTGCTGAGAACTAGCGGCACAAAAGAACAAACTGCACACAAAGGAAGATGACCAAACTCCTGCCATGGTTTTACTAGTGCGCTGTCTGAAAATAAGCGTCTGTTTAAAGATCTGCAGTTTATATATCCTTCAACAGGAAGTTAAAAATTTTCCTAATTATTTCGCTACAGCAACACTTAACGCTCAGCAGTTAATTTTAATGAACAGTCAAAAAATAATAAAAGATTCAGGATAAATAGGTCATAGGTCAAATTCAGAGTAATCCTGGTAGTTGATAGCATCATAAAACACAATATTTGTATATACCGATTTAAAAACTAAAAATAGACACATTGTCTTTGAATGAGTAATTTTTAACTGATAGATATGAAAAAACAATACATCATAGGATTTTGTATACATTTATCTTCATTACCTCAATCTGTTAAAAGTACAATTACTACACATTTTGATTTTGTTAATGCTAATTTAAGATTAGTATTAATTCCAATGAATATTCACAAGACGAAAGACCACCTTTAAGCAATCGCTTAATGGTAGCTTAATGATGACTTTATGGTGCTTAAAGAAGTTAACTCCATTAAGCCACCATTAAGCTACCATTAAGCTGCAACTTACAGGTGCTTAATGTCAAAACTATATTAAGCAACCATTAAGCAACCTTTAAGCCGAGCTAAATGGCGACTTAATGGTCAAACATCATTAAACTTTAACGTTTTACGCATTTTATATCGAATCTTTGATCTAACTTTTTAAGTTATTTCAATGTCTTTTACGCAAAATCTATTTTTTTGTGATTTATAATTTTTTTCTCGATCGTTATTTTTATATAACATTTCTGTCAACATGCAAAATCTCGGGCACTGAGAATAAAACTAACTAACAGGGGCTTGCTCCCGGTTTCTAATATTTTTTTCAATCATTTACAGTAACAATAGAAAAAAGTTTTATCTTATTACAACATATTATTTTTTTTCTTTCTTGAATAAATAATCATAACATACGTTGTTTTTATTAGTTGTGTAATGTGTACATGATTTTTGTTTTAAAAAATAAATAATTATATTGTTACACGCCTTGGACAAACCCCTGTGAAAAATCTTAATTTCTCACTACCGAAAATCAATTTCTTCTTAAAATTGTCTTTATCCATAAACACAATCTGTTAAACACAATATATTACTGTTTTTTTTTTCTTTTTTTTTTTTAAAGAGATGGTATTTTTGCTTCATGCGTTAAGAGAACATATTCCGCTACATAATTCCAAGAAATATAAAGTCATGTTCTCATGATAAAAAGAATTTTTTTTGGAGGGGGGTGGGGGTGGTGGCTGGGGCCACAGGTATAAAAAATGTTTAGTTTTCAAAGTTTGACTTTTACATCTTGAATAATTTGTATTTCTAGACGGTCTCCAATCATTGTTATTTCAAAATCGATTTTCAGAGGAACAGCCAATCAGATTAAAAAAGACATCCGAAAGATTTATTCACATTGGAAAACGGGGTAAGATTAACAGTGTACAGTACTGACTGGTTAAACAATGGACCTTAATAAGGTGCCCACCGTCCCCGGTCAACTAACAGGAAACAGATTTTGATGATCAATAATTTTTTTCAAAATTTAAATTTAACGCAAGCATATAACAAATTAAAAATTATGATTCATTGTAAAATGACAATTATTTTGATATCCATTATTATACAAAAAGAATTTTAACTGAATATGATATTCGAAAAAAGTTTTTGTAAACATAACCATGCAGGTTACTTGTAAACGAGGATTGTCACTACAAAAACCGTTAACATCCGCAGAATGCTTTATCATTAAAAAAAATTCATCTGTCTTTCCTGATGATAGATTTTTTGTGTTTTATCTATTATTAATTTAATTTCAATCATGATTTAATGCTTACACTATGAATCTTCGAATAACAGAACGAAGAATTCATTACTATTTAAAAGCCAAACTCAACGGTTAAGAAATATTAATTTGATATAAGCCTTTTAAAAAGATCCATAAAATTTTTTTTATAGTTTGATTAATAAATCAATTCAAGACTTTAGAGAAATAAATACAAGTCCAAAATAAACTTTGTGCAAAATATATGTTGAACATTTTCCGATATATGTCAAAAGCGGAATTTGCTTCATGGTTAAGGTGACTGCCATCTACTCAAAGGGTTATGAGTTCGCGCCCCGTGTGTGGTGTTTTTTTTCATTTTTTTTAAATTTTGAATTCTGTTCTTTTCCTTATTTTTACCAAATCAAGATATGTGTGAACTCGACATTTATAATTTGTGATGACAAATCACTATAATAATAATTTTTCACCCATAAAAGCAGTAATATCGACTGCTTAATGGTAGCTTAATGGAGTTTGGAGCAGTGAAAGAGCTTAATGGTGACTTAATGGTGGTCTGAAAGTTACCATTAAGGACCTGTAAGCCACCATTAAGCCACGATTAAGCTACCATTAAGCTACATTTGAGCACCAATTAAAAACTTTGAGATGGCTTAATGGTACTCCAGCATGCTAGAGGTTCACGGCGAGATACTTTTGACTTGGCGCCGCGTAACCATTAAAAAGCTGAAACCCCAAGTGGAAATAAATTATTTTATTAAGAAATAAGGTTTTGTATATTAACGAATGGTACGAAATAATAAAATACCAATATTTACGATAAAACTTACGCATAAAACACTGTTAATCTCTCGTATTAGCAATAAATCCATTATTTTTTAAATCGAAGCAGAGATTGAAACAAGTCGTCTGTTTAAAATTCAGAAATGGAGAAAATCTGACGAAACGAAACTAGTGCAATGTAAAAACGTTTTTGACAAGATCCGCAAAATTAATGTGAAGTCAAATCGAAAGTACTTCTGGTGATAAATTGGAATAATGACAATTTTCATTAATTAACAATAATGCACAATGAATAAAACGGATTTTATTATTTCTTGTGACTTTCATACCCCATGCAAACATGTAGGTACCTGAAAATTATTTGTTAACAGTTTATTTCACGCATAATACGTTCCGCCCAAAATCTTAGGCGGAACGAGCTCGTTAAAAAATGGCCTTCGGATGTAAGAGTCCGAGGTATATAAGGAGCGTAGGGACGTTAATGGTAGCTTAATGGTATCTTTATGGTGATGTAAATGTTACTTAAAGGCGCTTAATGGTGACTTAATGGTGACTTAAAGACAAACATTAAACCACCATTAAGGACCTATAAGCCACCATTAAACAAATCTTAAAGGGTGTGTTTCATCTTGTGATTTTCTTTTCTCTTTTAAAATAATCAATTTAAAACTATTTATTTTCTTAAAGGCAGAGATTTTTTACCGGGTGGTAAATCCAGGTGAGGGAGGGGCTTATTCTGTACAGGTGTGAATGCCTTAGGGGCTAGCAGTCTACCCGTGGCCATCTGTCTCCTAATCCCTATACACAGGAAGTGATTTAATACACAGTGAAATACCCAGATGTCAAATTTTACCTGTGTTGGGGATTTTGAGAAATTTTAAATAATAGTAAAAAGGTGTCCTGCTTTATTTTCCGTCGGAAAAAAATATTATGATATCATGCTATTAATTCAAATATTAATTTATTTTAATCAAAGATTATTTAAGATGTTGGTGTATGTGATAATTTAAAAAAAAAACTCATGTAACAACCAAATTCGACTAAATTCATTCATCCATAGGATCCTATCTATTAAATAAAAAGAAAGTCATGTTAAGTACATTTCATTAAAAGTTATCTCGGTTTATCCTAATCTTCATAAGTTTTTGTAACCATGAAACATGCTAAAAAATTGCTTGTAAATTCAAATCTGAATAAAAAAGGACAATATAGTGACCCATGATTAGAACCATTTATAAATATTTCTGAATTTAATTATTTCACACAGTGCTGCTCTGAACTTTATCAATAACATTTCCACTTTAGGTTTACCATAATGATTTTTAAATGGCATATAAAAATCAATATCAAAATTACATTCGAAAAAAAAGTTTTATTTACAAAGGTAATTTTAAACAAATACATATTATTTTCATAATCCTTTCAAATACTAAAGGTATACAATGTATATTATAAATCTAACAATTTTCATAGTGATGAAGTTTCTCCATATCATTGTTCGGTAAACATCAAAGGATTAAAAGTTAATTTGAAGGTCCCCATGAGTCCTATACAATGTGTTCAGGGTATACATAGGGATCAGTAAGTAATGTCAATCAAGTTCCAGCATCCAATGATGGACCTTCATGCACTTGATTGGCAGAGCTACCCAGACCAAGTATATTTAAAGGCGTTGCTTAAAATCTCTGCCCTTAAATAGGTAAAACTTAAAGGTCAAGGTCATGGAAAGTAACATCATGTATTTAGAATGGTATTGTCACAGGTAAATACTAATACACATGTAAGATGAAAAATACCTGTCTCTTCCCATTAAAAATATATAACTTTGATAGCCAAGGTTGAATTTATTTTGACAGAAGGACAGACTGACATACAGTACCGACCGGACACAACCTAACACCAGAGCAAACCAGAAGAAGACCCCTGGTTTGTTTGTCGGGTTCGCTTGGGGTCCGCTTCGGGTTCGCTTTTCGAAATTTTGGGACCGCTCTTGGTGCTCTCAGGGTTCGATCCGCGTTCGCTCAAGGTCAGTTCTGGGTCCGCTAGAGAAAACCGGCGATCGCTTTCTGGGACCGCTTTACGTACTGATGCGTGAAGGGGATCCCGCAATCTCGCCGCCAGTAAGCCCCGCCCCTTGTATATTCCAGCATAATTTTGGAATCAATTATTGTTATTCATGCAGCGATCGATATATGAACACTGTGCATGTTCATGTAGACAGTGAAATTATGGAGAACATTACATGTAATAAACTCTCCAAATTTCAACCGTACTTAGATTTACGGAATACATGTATAATTGATTTCCTTGATTTCTCCGATCTCGGAATTTCGATCCTGAGAAATTCCAAGTTATCTAAGAGCGGGCCATTAGGCATTTATTTTTTCTTTATTTTTTACGTGAAAACAAAAAAATAGAAGAGGAA